ATTAACTTCTGTGTTAAACCATCTGACTCCGATTTTAACCACTCTGACCACAGAAATTATTAGGCTTCAAATAGGGTGAACGAAATCATGCCCAACACATACAGTCTAACATCCACACATAACTTACAGAAAAAAACCTCGAATCTTTTGCATATCTCGAAATTTCAAGGTGTCCCGAGTCCGAAAATGTAAAAATTTGGGAGGTGTCATTTTTTGACCGAGCACTACACTTTCCCTCTGTTATATATAACATCCGGAAAAGTAAAAATTATCGAATACATATTTATATATTACTTAGAGGAGTGTTTTAGCTTTGGAATAAAAAGTTTCTACGTTCTATCTTTATTATAACTCTATGTATTGAATCTTTTATTCTGAGGTCACGTGATGACATCAGAATTTCCGTGTCTCTTTCGGTAACAAGTCCGCCCCTGGTCGGAATCGGAGTCGGTAGATTTTTACGCGACTCCATAGCCCTGATCCTAAGTTTAAAATACCCTGTAAATCAGTTCGGGTTGATTAGTAAAGAAAAAAATACATTAAATGAAAATTTTTGTCAAATTATTATGCATTTTGTCATTATCGTAATGCAAATTTGAAATTACGCTAGCCGAAATTAATGCCGGATTAGCGATGGAACCGGATTAGTGATAGTCGACCTATAATGATTTCTTTTTCACGTAATTAAATTTTAAACTTTATTAAAAAATTAAAAGAAAAATAAAATTTCAAACATAAAAAGGATGGAAATTTATTCTAAAATAAATTTCTATCCTTTAGAAATCATAAGACAAATATATAGCCTATATACAAAATTACAGCTATTTAATTATTTAATTTACTTTGTAAAAACTATAATATTGTTTTCGATGATATAAATATTCAAATTAACGAATAACATTAAAAATAATTTGCTGAAGTAAGTGAATTACAGTAAATTTACTGTAATTAAATTAAGAAAGTTGTTAGTTATAGTGAATTATTAAAGCAAATGGAAAGAGGGAAGAAGAGAGAACACTACAGCAGTGAAGTGGAAAAAAAAATATTCATTAAACTTCATTATTTATTATTCTCTTTATCGATTATGAATGAAAATTATTAATAAAATGTTTATAATATTAATTGATAATTAGTTTACCAGTAAATTAATTTAAATAAGATTCTAATGTTCTCTTTCATACGAATATATTTATATCAGATATAAATTTAAGAAAAGCTGGCAAGGGCTCTTGCTTGACTTTTCCAGCAGCAACATTTAAAACTGGACCATCAGTGGTCAAGCGGTTCCATTCCCTGAACACTAGGCATTCGGTCGTGGGTTCGCACGTGGAGTTTTTTCCACGTCTGTAACGCCTGAATAGGGGCCAGTTACCCTTAAAAAGACCCGCCGGAAGGCATTATTCTCCGCGTATAAATGAATATATATAATCACTAACTACGTCACCATCTCTCGTCACAACTTACCTAATATCTCACGGCACAAGACGAGATTTAAAGTTGCGTGTGGTGCCATCTGTTACGATATTTTATTTAAAAACTTTTTACATTATTAATTATTATAAAAAGTCGAAAAGGCCTAATTTTGAGGATAGAAATGAGTTTTTAAAAATATNGTGTGGTGCCATCTGTTACGATATTTTATTTAAAAACTTTTTACATTATTAATTATTATAAAAAGTCGAAAAGGCCTAATTTTGAGGATAGAAACGAGTTTTTAAAAATATTGTAATGCCAGTAACGGATAAAATGAAATTTAAAAAATATAATTAAATCCCACTCGAGATACGATACATGATTTCTATCTTCCCATCACCTTTAGTTCTGTACTCCAAAATTTAATAGCACCAGTGTTCCTTATATACAAGTTACAAACGCACACACAGAGAGACAGAAATAAATGTCCACAAAATTTTTCCCCTGTTTTTTATTTACTCTTTTGGGTTCATGGGTCTCAAAATTTCGAGATTTTACAATAATCCAGCGGTTGAAATTTGGCATGATTACAATACTTTCCCCTGTTATAGGCCTATTATCAATATTACAGCCTGGAAAGTATTGTTAGATCCTTGTATTAATTTCGTCCAAGTTTCTGTAGTTATGGATACTTTAACGATTGAAATAGCTATTGTAGATATTGTGTGGAAAATAATCATAATAATAATAATAAATATAACAATTCAGGGTCCAGTTGAAAGTGTATAGAATACAATAAATTTAGAATAACAGGAAAATATTCGTAGTTTGACAACGATGTGAATTGAGTTGCAAAGCAAGGTTATTGACCGGACTACTAACAGTTATCAACAAAGGTTATGAGAAAGTTATTATTGTTTTTTTAAAGAAAAGAAAGCTACAGACAATTAAAATCACAAATATAATTTAGATTTTGTTTTCCATTTATAAAAAAAGATGAATAATAAAGTGTTGTAAATAATTTTACCGAATGTTTCTTAGATAATTTTTGTGAAACTTCTCTGAGACATTGTTTATCTTTCAGTTGAACCTGATCTTTAATATTATGAACCTCAGTTTTAGAATATAATGGCGAAAATAATCCTAACTTAAAAGTTACAATATTAGGATTCAGTAGCGGTTTGTTAGAATTTTTACGAAGAATGGGATTAAGATTATTATGTAATTAATCAGAAAAGCTTGATTTACTTTTCTTTCCTATTAATTATTAATACTTTAAGACTAAACGCTGCAAATCTTGTAAGATGCGGAAAAAATTCATCCAGGAGAATACATATGGGTTTTGTTTTATTTTAATTAAACGAATTATAAAAATGTAAATCAGTTACTTATTCTAAAATTAAAAGATTCACATATATGGCTTTAAGATTAAAAGCTAGAAAAAAACGACTATAAAAATAATAGCGTTGAAACGTTAGAAAATATAAACAAAAGAAAAAAACACAACACAAAAACACAAAATATACAAGAACATCTTTCTTAAAATATTCTCTGGACTTTACTAAATTCAGCCAGGTTTGCAATTTATCCTTCTGACTCTCCTATCACGTCTTGTTGCTCAGACAACAATGTGTAATATTTGGATAGGGCACACACCCCATTCGCTTTTCTGTTTAGCGCTGTGAATTAGTGGCAAATATTAAAATTTAAAATAATATGACTAATTCTTTTAAAGAATGCACGTTTATTCTAAGCAAAACTTTTTTTTTTTTATTTGACTATACTAGACACTTGAAAGAGGCAATGCAGTGACGTCCCTCACACGAACTTTGTTCTATTTTTTAGAATTTATACCAGTAAATATCTGAATTTGTATTTTTATAACTAATCAATATAATAATATAATAAAATTTTTCTTAAACACATATATCAATCAAATAGGTTATTACTGCTTTATTTTGGTCTCTATGTTTCAGTTTGATCGAACAATATAAACACGCCTTTCTCCAGAATTTCCTGTGCCTGTCTATTCAATACTTTGTCCCATTTTTAACAACGTTTAAAGTACTATAAAGTAAAATTAAAGGCACATAAATATGAAAAGTTAAACGAAAGAAAAGATAATAATGAAGTATTTTAAAAGTAAACGTTGTATTATTCGTTGAACAGAATATTATTAGTGTTACAGTAGAGCAGTGTTTCTCAACCTCTAACGAATCGTCGCCCCCTTCAACATAGTATCGCCCCCTTCAATAAAACCGTTACCTATTATCGCCCCCTTTACTTCAAAATTCCAATGCCGAGGACCAAGACTAACGCCAAATTCGTACTGCACTGAATAGATTAGTGACTAGTATAATGTTATTTGTTTAATTATTGTACGATATAACGAATAAAATATCCAATTATTCTTAATATAGGCCTAATGTTTTACTCTATCGCCCAGAAAATTGTTTTTCGCTCCCCCAAAATATAAATTGTTACTGATCGCCCCCTCAACATGGAAAAACGCCCACATGTGGGCGATATCGCCCCCGTTGAGAAACACTGCAGTAGAGCGTCGTTTATCCGAAACGTCGGTTATCCNCCTTTTTATATTTTTAACGATTATAAAATAGCACAAAGCTTAATTTTGAGGGTAGAAATAGAGTTTTTTTTAAAATTGTAAATGCTAATAACGAGCAAAATCGCCATTAAGTCCCACTATACTGAAGATACACACGACTCCCATTATCTCCCCACCCCTCGACCTTCAATCATCGAAATTTAATAGCACTAATACCCGTAATACATAAACCTCTCTGAAAAATTTCAAAAATTTTCGACAAAAAGCACAGGAGTTATTATGCTTCAAACAGGGTAAACAAAATCGTGCCACACACAAACACACACACACACACACACTAACATCCATACATACAGACGTTTGAAAATGTCCTAAGTCCATAAATGTAAAAATCTTCGAGGGGGTCGTTTTTTGACCGATTGATATACTTTCTGTCTGTTATATATAAAAGCTAGGAAAGTAAAAATTGACCGTTCCGAATGGGGGTCTTTATTTTAGGGGTCAACTTCGAATAACATTAGGTTTTTCTTATTAATTTGTTTAGAATATTACAATGAAACAGGTCTCTCCAAGCTCACACATTAGTGTGAATGGACCTAGAATTACCTGAATAATTAGTTATTTCTTAAGCATTAAGCATATTAAGCCATTAAATGTTATAAAAATATTACTTTTTATGCAAGGAGTATTTATTTAGAATTTATAATTATAATTTTGAAAATAAAAATACTTTATAAATATTGTTTAATATTGTTTTACTATATCAACAAAAAGAATTTCTCAAACTCATCGGGGCTCACCAGTGGCCAAGCGGTTCTGTCCGCTGAACACTGGGAGAGTGGTCGAGTTTTCCGGGTTTTCTCCACGTCTGTAACGCCTAAGTAGTGGCCAGTTACCCTTAACAAGGCCTCCCGGAAGGCATCGCCCAAGTGTTGCGTTGAAGTAAATTAACAAACAAATTCATTGAAAATAAAACCTTAAATTAAAATTTGATTTTTTACGAATACAGTAATTAATTATTCAACAAATTTTAGTTTTAGTTCATTTGTTTTCATGTTGATGCAACTTCTCGTATCATTAAATCTCCTTTTCTCCCTAAAAACCAAATTTAAAAATGCAAAATTTAGAAAGAATTTATTGTGTCGAGGTATAAATTTCATTAATAATTCATAACTTACGGGATCTTGAATGGTACACAGCTTTAAGTGAGATGGAGGACTTTCATAATTGTCGATCCATATGCTCTCTTTGGTACGATGTGTCGATGTCTCTTTGGGACTGAAAGATCACGTTTCGAATTATGGTTATTTGGCTTTTTTGGTCTACAGGGGGTCGACAATACTGGGATCCTCTCATCTCTGAGCTATTTTAGAATCTTATCACTCAAATTGCAATGCGCGTATTATGTGTTCTTACCTCTTTGGAATCATGGTGAAGTTAGATGGGAATTTCTGATTTATTTTCTTTCAGCTGAAATTTAAATAGCTGTGTTTAAACGTAACAAAGTTTTTTAAAATTTGAAACAAAATCACAACTTACTTAGATGGATCCCGCATTTTTAACATGAATACTCGATCTGAAAAATATTTAAATTACTTAATTTCTTTGATTCTTCGAAGAAAATGAAATGAATCGAATGATTTGCTTACTGTTATGAAAGCAAATTCCCCATCTCCTGTTTTGGAATCAATTGAATTCAACAATAAGGCGATACAATATTGCATAATAAATGGTAATTGTTATTATTGCTTCGTTATGCATTGTCAAAAATTTAAAATATAGAAAAGTAATCAAAACATTGTAAATCAGGGGCGTATCCAATGGAGTGCTTAGGGTGCTACTACAGCACCCTAAGCACTCCATTTGATGCCGAAGCAATGTTTTGTTACTTTAACATAAAAAAATAAATATGGCAAGATTTCAATTAGATAAGGCTAGGTAAATAAAGCAATTTTAAGGTAACTAAGTAATATTGTCCGAAAAACAACAGGTGGTAAATTCCTTTATCCCCCCAATGTGCCTAGAAGAGTCAGTAGCGAAAAGTTTCCTTGAGGTCCTAGACAAAATTTTGTTATAAGATCCTTTTTGTAAAAGCCTTTTATATATTAAAAAGACAATAAAATCGTCAATTTATGAGTCATGTTACGCGCCCTGTTCTTGCCAAGGTGCGAAACGTATTCATTTTAAATGAATACGTTTCGCATAGTAAAATGATAATATGTTTCTAAAACTTTAAAACGTATTCATTTAAAATGAATACGTTTTAAAGTTTTAGAAACATATTATCATTTTACTATGTAATGTTTGAGGTACGTCGAGACGACGAGGCCCTAGGTGTGCCTATTGGGTAATTCGCCACTGCGGCTACCTCATTCGCGCTTATATCAAAACTGAATATAATCGCAGCAACAGATGACTGAAGTATAACTTCATATAACTTACATCAAAAGAAAAAGAATTAATTTCAATGTCGACTTGTTCAGATCGTCATTGTGTCGCAGCTATTATTTAGTAAAAAAACTAGTCAAAGAAAAACAATGTAACTGAAATATTCCAGCGAAATACTTTGGCTAAGGTGACCAGACTCATAAATTAGAGGAACAGTCCTAATTTTTAATATGCTATCCTGATTTTAAAACTGATTTCAAACAGTCGAAAGATCTGAACATTTTTCGACTGTTTGAAAAATGTACCGCTCTTGGACTGTTTCTTAATATTCGAAAATATCCAATATTTATTGCAAGAATTGTGAATGAAAGATAAACAGTATAGTATATAAACTTTAGAGTAAATATTTTAATATCTAATTTATAGAAACAGTAGTCAAATTGGTGATTTATTGTTCAGATTATCACCGTGTCTACCGGACAATGAGCATGTACCACGTGCGATCGTGCGAATCAGTTAACAAAAATCAGTTTTTATAATTATTTCAGTTTAAAAAAATTTTTTTAAGTAATTAATACTATTCTTTGTAACTATTTATTTATCATCAAATGAACAATAATGAATAGCGAAATGTTTCATTTTCTGGATAATACTAACGAGTAAGCAGGATGAAATCACAATCTTTTCTTTGGTTTCCTTCGATACAACGTTTCAAAAGTTTTTGAAATACTTTTAGCATTTCAAAAACTTTCAGCATTAATAGTAAAAGTGAGTGAAAAATAGGTCTAAAATGACTAAACTTATATAATTACTTTTTAAAAATTATTTATATGTTGTTCTTATAAATTGGTTATACTGCTTTAGAAGACATATAAAAATGGTTCTATTTAAAATTCTATTCTATTTTTCCGGGCTAAAAACAGGAGAAATCCAGGACTGTTCCTTACAAATCAAAACGTATGGTCACGCTAAGCATTTCCTATTTATAGGTAGTGATTAAAAAAGTGTGTAAAAGTGTTCTTCGATAGATTTCGTCGGTTATCCACTTTGTTGTTTAACACCGCGAGAATATTGTGATATGATAAACTTTTAGCCCTACACCGAATATTTCAGGTTAAGAAAACTAAAATCTGAACGATTCGGTTTAGGGTTACGTTGTCACTTCAGTAAGTTCAGCGCGTCCTAGTGTCACCCAAACAGCACTAAGTAGCGAGCTAGTGTAAGTCAGTGTGTGATATTTGAATAATGGTGTCCGCACTCAACTGCAGCCACTTAAGCTGTGGTTCAGAAATTTGGCTGGGACACCATACAGTCGCGACAGAGGTGAAAGAATTTTTGGGTGGATTTGGAACATTTTGAAACGGATGAGAAGCGAAGCTGCCACTAACTGGCTGAAGGAACTGGCGGTGGAAGTCTATGACAAAGGAATAAAAAAACTAGTGTTGCGCTGCGACAATCGTAATGGTACCTATGCAGAAAAGTAACTGATTTCGTACTAATTACTCAATAAAACTTTTTCCTATCATTACTTGTTTTTTTATATGTTTTATAGCTAAACGTTCTTTACTTGGACGCCCCTCGTAGTTCGTCATTTATCACATCCACATAACTAGTAGCGTTTTACCACTGAATTTTTTCTAAAAGATCAAACTCGCTATTTATTTAGCATCGAAAATCGCTGTCGCAAGCTATGTGAAACTGCATTAAAGACAATTATTATTTTTATCATAATTTCATTTTATTATTTAATTATGATTAATGACTTTTATTTATAAAAATAATAATATAAATGAAAAGTGATTTTTTCTGATGAGTAAAGAAGTAATTTAATGTAGGTTGCATGTAATATTCGTGTCTTAAAAGTTTCTGCGATAAATTTTATACGCCAGAATATATAGCCTATAAAGTGTATTTTATTTAGAAAATGCATAGTTGTTTCAATGTTCTTATTGTTGTTTGTATTTGAATATTCTTTATTTTTGTACCTAAATACATTTTACACACCATTTGTATGAAAATTACAGTACTTTATTTTTCAATTAAGTAGATTGGAAATGTACTAAATATTTTTTTATTATCAATAGTTTCAATAAATAGTTAATGCGATTTATAAGAAATTTGATATATCCGTATGTACACTTTAGCAGAATTTTTTATAATTTTAGAATAGAATAGAACACATACAAAACTTTAAAATAAATTTATAATTTATTATTCTGAAACAGAATCACAGAGTACATCTCACAAACTATAATAAATAAAAGAACTTAAACACCAATTGTCAAATGAAGTATAATATATGAAATATATACAGTATAAAATGAATAATGAAATAGAACAGGAGACTATCACAACGAACTTCCTATTGTTATTCACAATTTTTACGTAGAATGTTTATGCATCTTTTCTAAAATTACGAATATCATCCACGTTATCCACGTATTTTAAGGATTCGCCATTTTCATCATTATCCATTCTTCGAAATCTTCCTTGAGTACCTAACCTGAATGCACCAAATGGGCGATAAAATCCTCCAAATGGAGCTAAACCACCTCTAAATCCTCCTCCTAGAGCAAACAATGGAGAAAGCAGGCCTTGCAGAAATTGTATAATCGTTGCATTTGCTGCTGATGCTACTAACAAAATAATTAGGAAGTGCTGTAAAATATAAAACATTTATTACAAATATAACATTTTATACAAGAATTTACGTTATAGATAACACAGGGTCTTCTAAAAAGAATGTTACCATTTTGAATTATTGTAATTATGTTAATTATTATCTTAGAACATTGTAAGGTACGTTAAAAGAAATGTCCAATTTTCACATTTGCTCATTACAATTTTTCAAAGTGTGCACTTCGTGTCACAAGGCACACATCCAACCGAAAATCAAATTCTTCTAACAGTCGCTACAGTATATCCATCGTCATTCCTCTCACAGCAGCATCAATTCTACAGTTCCTGCAAATGCATAATGATCAGTGATTCCAACTTTGCGAACTGCAGAATAACGTAAAACACTTTCTCAATAGGGAGTCACCATTTTCGTATCCTACAGGTACTAGATTACGAGATGTTTGAATGCAGATTGAAGATGAAACTTGAACAGTTACTCTATCGATTGGTGTACAGTACATCCCAAACTTCTCGAAAAATAATTAACATAATTACAGTAATTTAAAATGCGAAATTCATTCTGGAAGACCCTTTATATAGTTTTAAATAAGCATTTTTTGTAATTAATAATAATTAATATTTAAAATTATTTGTAAAAGTATTGTATTGAACTAAAATTCAGATATATAAATCATTTGCATGTGGGAGAAATCATTTATTTATATTAAATATTGAACATATAATACATTTAAAGCCCAAGGAAACAGTCAATAGAAATTATATTTGTTTATAATTAAGGATATTTACGAAGTGTATACTCACCACTAGTTTCATTCTGAGCTCCTTATGATCCTTTGCTAGATATTCATTACGACTTCGACTTTATATATATATATTCACCCTATATTCCAGATACAACTACTGATTGGATTTGCAACTATTAGATATATTGTTACACTTTTTTTATAAAGTAATTCTGACATAATTTAGCATTTTTTTATTTCAAATTATGTTAATTCTTTGAACTAGTTTGTCTGCTGAAAGAAATCAAATAAACAAACTTAAGAAATCAAGCGAGTAGTATTGTTTTCAAAATAGCATATTTTAAAATAGCAATTTAAAAAAAAAAAATTATTAAATGTTGTTTAAAAAAATTTAAATTTCTAGAATTAAAAAAAAATTAATCACATTATTAAAAATAGAGAGAGACTATAAATAGATAATGTTTGATTCCGTTCTAGTTATAGAATTTATCTTCTATGATAACATTTTTGTTTTTATATATTATTACATCCAAACCTTTGAAGAACGGCAACTGAAGGGAATTTTTGTTTCTTTGTTGCCTTTGGAAATTGGAAATTGCCGTTGTTCAAAATGTCCTTTGTTTAAAGGTTATTCTGTACGCATTTTTGTTTAAAGAAACGTTCCTGGAAAAATAGATCGCCTTTAAGAGGTGGCCGTTGTTAGAGGTTTCACTGTATTTTATTTTAAATTAATATACTTTTATTGGGAATCTGTCGTTTTTATTCGTTTCTTTCTTCCTCGAAATGATTATAAAAGACAATATTAACGTAAATTGTGTCACACAACAAATATATCTCAGTTAAAAGAGTTATCTATGCAATAATAAAACTGATCACTAAAACGATAAAGTAATAAATAAGATATATAAAGATAATAATTTATATTTAAAAATATAT